ACCATCTCCCAGGGTAACATCCCTCCAACAGTTTATCAGCTCACTACGGTGTCATACTATCCAATAATTTCAATGCAAAAATATCTTTACAAATGGGTCCTGAAGATTCTTTACACCATGAAAATCATCAGTAAGGATAATTAACTGAGACTGCGGTGATGAATAGAGCCGCATTACTGATCAGTGTAATAAAGAACAGAAGCCACTAATTACAGATAGAGCCTCGAAGCTACTGAAAAATGTAATTTAACATTGCTGCCTGAATTCCACAAAGCCAAATATAAGTTTGCAATTAAAACAAGGTCTTCCAACAGATACTGCTGTTGGGACCAATCCAGGTGTGAGAAAATGTGCCCATCTGCATGGAGTGGCTTGGATCTAGTAAGGATTGTGCCTTAGGAAAAAACATTCAAAAAATTAAAACTCCCTAAACATTTTATTAGGTATTGTTATTACAACCCTGACTTCCTATCATGTTATTAGGTAATTTCTTCGAATTTTTAAAAGATTAAAAAGAATTTAGAAGAATATATTGTATAAAAATAGCATAAATATAACAAAGCTATAGGTCCAAAGAGTCACTTAGAATTGTGTGTTTCTTAGATACAAGAAGGACATTATTTCAACTGCAGAGAAAATAGTAAGCTGCAGAGCAGTGTTTTCAAAAATACTTGACTGTAAGAACTATATGAGGTCCTTGTTACAATCCAGATTCCTGGGGAGTACCTGAGCAACTATAATATAATCTCAAAGGGGAGGGCCTGGGATACTGATTTCAGTGTCAGCTCTAGATGATTATCAGCAAACAAGTTTGAGTGCAGTGGAAACAAATGGGATTTGGGGTTTTAATATTGGTTCTTCGAATGTTGGATCTGTCATTTTATAGCCATGTATCCTACTGGGAGCTATTCTTTCTGAGTCTCAGTTTCTTTATTTTAAGAATATGAAAATATATCAAATTCATCTGGTATAATACATACGTTTCAAGTACATATACATTTCCTATTAATGTGTTTGTACGTAGTAGACAAGCAGCCAAATATCAGTTCCCTCCCACTTTCTTCTTTGCTGTATTTGACAGAGTGTTTTACCTTTATAGTTTTTTTAAATTCAGTGTATAGTCTCACTAACAGTGATTCATGCAATGAGAGTCATATTGAAGAAAATGAAGCTATGAGAATATTATCTGCTTCACAACTTAAAGCACCTCACAGTATATATGAATATCTCATGCACTTAATCCCACCGTAAAAAAGAGGGTGTAAGAAAACAGACTTTCATTGCTATGTCAGCCCGCCGTGTTTCACAGCACCAGATGCGCAAATTGCCTAGAGAGCCTGCCTCCTTCTATTACAGTATGGAATGTGGTAGCTGGTATATTCTCCAGTTGTAAGTCAAGAGAATTTTAGCATAAGGTAGGGGTTTCATATTTTTATATGAAATGCTATTTGGTAAAATTCCACAGGACCTAGAAATTTCCCAGAATATGTCAGATAAGACATATTACTGGGAATTTTAATCCTTTAAGAGTTTTCTTACATAATTTGAAATATGAAAAATATTTCCTACATAATTGAAGTATCTAGAAATAGCTTCTCAATATTATTACATTCATAAAACCTAAGAGCATGTCTTAGATTCTAATACTATAATTCAGAGTCTGACTCAAACAGATAATAAAAAATGCTTATCACAAGTTATTGTGTATGATTATCTTCTAATAGCATTAAGATGATAACTGATATAATAGCCTCCCAAAAATTCATCTGTAACATCCATGCTGTAAAGAAGTTTCCTTTTTAGAAAAAAATGGTAATCTTATTTTCAAAAAGTCTAGCTTTCATCTTGACTTTTAATCATATATCTTATTCACCTAAATATTTATTCCTGGCACACATGCTTCTGAGCTAGGCCAACTGGGGAGTATTAAAATTACACACAGAAAAGATCATACAGATAATCAGTTCTATAAGTATTACATATACATTTTAATTAAATGGCTAAAAGTTTGACTATGAAATATATAACAATCTATATAAATTTAGAGGAGGACCCAACTACATACAGCATGGCTGACCACTCATGTACTATAATGCTTTACAACTAATTTAGTGGCACAACCAATTAAAGGTTAACAACAACAACAAAATATTTCAGAGCCTTGGATTTGCATTTATGTCATTTCTTGATGTACATACTCAAGGGTCAAATTAAACCCTCTCCAAAATGAAATCAAACAAAAGATAAATAAATAATATATTGTTACTCTTTAGTTTTTTATGCAGTATTTCAAAATATTGACGTCAAATTATTTTCTTTATTTATCTTTTGGCAATAAAAATTTCATTTATGTATAAAGCTGCTTTTCAGTGTTCAGCATACCAGTTTGTCTCTTATTAAACTGGCTAGCTTAAAATCTATTAGAACTCTTCCATTCTGAAGAGGAATGCACAATTTTCAGCCATAGATTTCTTCACAAATATTAGAGACTGTCTTGGAAGATAGAAGACAAAGAAAAATGTAGTAGTCAAGGCACAGTCTTAATGTTTGAAATAAAAAAAAAAAAAAAAAAAACTAGATTCGCAAACAGAATATCCTCTTCCTATTTGCTAAGGTTATTCTTTACCTGCAAACATTGCTATTTTATCTCTCTCCTAGACTCAATGATTAATACAGATCCAAGTTTAAAAAATGAAAAAAAAATAGAAATAAAAATAAAAGGGTGGGGGTTATGAATAATAACAGGAAACTTAGGTATTGAATTGGACATAAAGCAAAACTTTGAGTTTTCCAGAAGTCTTAAAAGGAAAGTTTTAGATTCTAACATTCTCAAAATATCATAAGAATAAATAAGAGCATTGTGTGCTCTTGACTTTAGGTCTTTTCTAAAAGTGCCATTTTATAGCTACCTATCTTACTATTATCTCACAGATAATTTATGTGTCTGTTGAAGAAAGGCCCATTACAGAGATACGTCAATATATCGTTGCTCTTCCAAAGCTAAGAAAAGTCTTTTTTTTTTTTTTTTTTTTTTTTTTTTTTTTTAAGCCAAATATGAAAACCTAGTGGCTGGTACATAGTAAATATTCAATAAATGTCAGCTACTCCTCAATGCCTCAATTTTCTTCACTTGTTCTTATTTTATATCTGAAACTTATCAAACTATTATTTGGAGACTTCTCTAAGTGTTGAAATAACGTTTGACAGAAATGCATTCCAGAAGTGGTTCTGTGTTAACACCAATAGTATACTGCTTATGCCCCTAGACATCAAGATAAAACACCTCTGAGAGACCCGCTGATTACCATATCCAATTAGTTTGAATACAGTAATTAAATTTTGGGCAGTTTATTATTTGAAATCTCAAGTTAAACTATGCAATAAAACATTTAAAAGTACTTGTAGGAACAGTGAATAGCATAGCTTGAGAAGAATGTGAAACTACTGAGATTATGACACTCATTAAAGTGTAAGAAGATTAAGTAGTAGACAACGCTAAACAAGAGTCTAGAGTCAGGAATTAAATAGTTCCCCATCACCACCACACACCCCCAATGTGTAGTAGGAAAATAAATTTAATCCAATTAGTATTATATCAAGCAATCACTAATTATAAGGAAAGCATTTTAAATTTTGGTTATATACAAAAGTCAAAACATCATTTTATACACCTACCTAATTTTTAAATTTATTTTATGTTTAAAACGACTACAATATTAAAAAAAAAAAAACACTTGAGTAACAGAAGAAGGTAAATCATGGAAAAGGAAATAGTAAGGGTTAAGATTAGCTCATAGAAATGCCTACCGCAAAGTGCTAAGTAGGTGCAGAGATGTACCAAAATGTTTTCTCTAAACTTCCTAATGGTCAAAGCAATCAGGATGAAATTTAGAAACACAGTATCTAAAATATTAGGGAAGTGAGGAGGGACGGGAGCCAGTTGTTTAAAAGATATATACTTTTTGCCAATAGTGAGGCTTGAGAGGAATTTCTCCTTGGGGATACTGTAAAGAGGAAGCTATTCCATACATTGACTGATGTTCTCAATAAGATCTACACAAAAGGAAAGCTAGCGAGTTCTTACGATTTTTTTTTTTTAATGTCCAGAAGGTAAACTGGTGCTAAATGCTCAATTGCAATTTAGTAAAAACAATTCTGTCAGGGTATATAGCTCCCTGGTGGTTTCAAATCTAGATTTATTCCTTTGGGATTTAAGAGGAAATGGTATTTTCCTGTGTACAGAGAGCACTCATTGTGATGGGCAGAATGTCTTTATTTTATTCCTTTTAAAGTTACAGTATTAAAAAATCAGAAAAGGTAATTCCTCAAATTAAACTCCAGTCGAAGCAATGCCATACTTCTGTAAAGAATGTCAAACAGCATGATGGTTTAATGATCAGTTCTCTGGAAAGGGAATCACCATGGGAAATTTCTGTTTTGATTTTTTTCTTCCTGAGGCCAGAGCTGTAGTAACATTTTTATCTGGCCTTATTCTCCATCAAGGTTCACTTTGAAAACTTCAAAGGCCATGTTTGGAAAATGAAAATAGGTCTCATTTTTATTCATTTTCATTTCAGACCAGCATGTGAAAATGGCAATCCTTTTAATCCCAGGGAAAAATGCTTTTAGACTAACCATGTAGGTGTTCTTTTTTTGCAGGAATAAATTAAAACTAATGTATGAGGAACTATTATAGATAATGCATTGACACAGTAGGCCACTAAAAACAGAAAAGGTAGAAATCATAATAGCTCTATACCAATTTAAACTTTATATATCTAAGATATGACACATTTAATGGAAGCCTTGAGGGCAACAGTGAAATTAAATAATATACACAAAGATGAAGGATCTAATTTTTCCTTTAATAAGTTATTTTACATGTTATTAGAGACCATAAAGTAGTAATAGATTGATGTAGGGTACTGATATTTTATATAAGATACATTCCTCTTTTATGACCACATGTTAGTCTTGATCTTTTTCTTTGTACCATGAAGGAACTACTGCTCTAAGGAAAAAAGGAGAGCTACATGAGGACCACACAACTCCTGGAAGAGGTTTCCCTGGCAACACAACTTTTCCATTCATCTGGTTGCAGTGTTTTCATCCAGTAGCCTGTCACCTCACTCAAAAGCAGGGTAATGGAAAGAAACTTATCAAGTTTTATCTTTTAACTAGAAAGTAACCTACTTATCGGGTCCTGCAATTAATTTCAGGTAACCCAGTATATGCCCCAGTATACCTTGCTTTATGAATACTTTTATGGCTATAAAATTTTCTTAAGAAAGATAATTTCTTAGAGTAAATTTTTAATATAAAATTATCAGATTTGCCTTTCATTCCTACCTGAACCACCTTGCATGTTTTTAGTCAGCTAGTATGTAATTTTTTACAAGTTTATATAATCTTATATAAAAAACAAAATCTCCAAGATGGTATTCATACTGTACCGTGGCACAACGTATTAGATAGCAGGTAAATCTAAACAAAACTTTTATATGTGATGCAAACATCCAAAAATATAAATTAATTTTCTTTGGTTTCCATAGATATTAACTTAGTCTTTAAAATTTATTAAAAATTTTTTCCTGAATGCTTTTTAACTCTGTATACGTTTTAATTAATATATAATCCAAGATTAATGTAATTTCTCTAACTCCTAAGACAGCCTCATAATCATATTTAAGCTCTAGATTTTACAGTTAGCCTAAACAGTATACAATATAAAGATGGCATGCATTTTAAAAATATAAAATAATACACTATTCAAAATAGAAGGAGAACCAGGCAGAGGTTCACAATGCCTTATTCAGAATTCTAAATTCCTATACCTTTGAGAACCAAAATGTTATTCACTTAATGATTAAATCTGATTTGAGTTGACTAGGATGCTATATACAGTCTTTATAATCATATTTAGTTTGAATATTCATATATTTCACTGTCAAAATATGTGGTCACTCATATATTTCAAGGGATATGTAATATACACAGCATTACTTTCCTGAAATACCAAAACCTCTGACTTTTGTTCCCAAGGTTCTGTAGACATAAATGGACACGTCACTATGGACAGACAGATACATCAATAGAAAATTTGCAAATTGAAATAGAGTAATTGCTTTTAACACACTGAATAAAATAATAATTAATGAATCCAAACTGATATACACAACAAATAAATAGGTAAAGAAAAAGAGAGAGTTCCTCCTTATGATAGGAAGATAGCTATGTTTATATCCACATGGATATAGATATATAGATATGGAAAGATACAAGTGGGATTAGAAAATACTCAATGGTTGCTAATAACGATTGTTGGTAACATTTGATAAGCATCAAGCTTTTCTAGCAGTTTCAAAATACATTTCTTTTTTTTTCTTATAAATCCAAAAGTTAAAATTCGTAACTTTATAATGGAGAAACCTAGTAGACACCACCTTAAAAACAAGATATTTAGTATCACTAATACTGAGAAAAATCAGTATTATATTCCTCTTGATTTCATTTACTGAGAACAAAAGAAAAAAAATCACTTTCAGAGCATTCTCACCAAAAATGTATAAAGTAAATCTAATCATGAAAAATACCACATAAATCCAGATTGAGGGACAGTTTACAAAATAACTGACCTTCACTTCTCAAAAATAATTTCAAAATAAGGAAAGACAAAGAAAAATTGACGAACTGTTTCAGTTTACAGGAGACACACGACAAATAAATGTCATTTCAGTTCGTACAATTTTGATGCAGATAAAATAAGTATTCACTTCCTGAAATAGAAAGCAGTAAGAGACATTATTTAGTCAGGGAAGTTACAAAGTGTTCCTTCTGTGGCTAATAATCATTGGAAACAGTGGAGGAAAACGAAGAAAGAATGTGAACATAACAGAAGAAAATGAAAGCGAGTAAAAGAAAAATATAGGCAACTATGGTAAAGTAATTAAAAGTCATCTAAAAATATTTAGTCCTAGATACCCAAGAAACAACTAAGTGATTGCATTACAGTATAGAACATAATTGGTTTTAGCCAATATAAAAATATTTGAAATAATTACTTACATTTTGAAAGATTTAAATGACTCAGCAATCAAAATGTTTAAAGTGTATAAACATAAAGTACCTTTGAAGTACTGAAGTAAAAAGTGCATATTTTATGAGAAGCAACCCCTTCAATAGCTTGATGATGACAGGGTCAATGTGTATGTGTCTCAAACATGTTTTCCTGATAAGAGATTTTTGTCATGAGGAATTTTTCAATGTGACTGTCATGCTAGTTTTAGTTTAAATAAAAATCAAAGGAGAGTCCAGGAGCGGTGGCTCACGCCTGTAATCCCAGCACTTTGGGAGGCCGAGGCGGGTGGATCACGAGGTCAAGAGATCGAGACCATCCTGGCTAACAAGGTGAAACCCCGTCTCTACTAAAAAAAAATCAGCCGGGCGTGGTGGCGGGCGCCTGTAGTCCCAGCTACCTGGGAGGCTAAGGTAGAAGAAGAATGGCGTGAATCCGGGAGGGGAGCTTGCAGGGAGGCGGAGCTTGCAGGGAGCGGAGATTGTGCCACTGCACTGCAGGCTGAGCGACAGAGCAAGACTCCATCTCAAAATAATAATTAATAATAATAATAATAATAATCAAAGGAGAGTGAAAGAATGCATTAGGAATATTCCTCTTCAATAAAATCGTTTGCTATTTTTTAACTAAGAATTAAGCAAACCAGAAAAACAAAGCATTTCTCTGATAAATACAAACTAATTGAGGGTAACCTATTAAGTAAAAGTTAGAGCTGCCTAACATAATTACTTTTTAAACTTTTCACTTTGAAATAAGTATAGATTCATCCTGCATACTGTCCACCTAATTTTCTCCAATGATTACATTTTATATAACTATAGTACAATATCAAAGCCAGGGACTTCACCTTTGTACACTGCATGTGCGTATGCTTGTAGGTCCTTACAGCAATTACTTAAAGTTCAGTGATATTAATATTAATATTTCATGTTCTTAAGATTTACTAAAGATAGCTCCAAATCTGTTTAAATAGTGATTAATATTCACTAAGCATAGGCAATAAATTTTTAACAAAATTGCCACATTTTATTGTTTACTTAATTTTAAATATCTATACCTTAAACGTATATACACTAAATATATTTAGATGTTAGAGATGCAGTTGTGACAAGAGACAATAATCCTTGCTTATAAATATTACCATGTGTATGTGTATTTGTGTGTGTATGAAAATAAAAATAAAGTATACAAAATGGGTCAGATACTATTAAATCCTACGGGGGTTTTTAAAAATAAAGTGAGGAAGGAGGAAGTGAAATGGTTAAGTAATGGTGCAATGTTATATAAGTGAGCAAGGAAGGCTTAGCAGATAACTGTGTGAAGACCTGAAAGAACTGAGAGAACTAACTGTGATTTTTGTTGTTTGTTTGTTTGTTTTTGAATACTCCAGGCAGATTTATAAAGGAAGCTGCTGGAGGGAATTCATTCCCTTTTTGCTGTTCTGCCTTCCACCTTTCACTGTGTGAGGACACTGCAAGAAAGCCTTCATCAGACACCAATTGCCAGCACCTAGATCTTGGAATTCTCAGCCTCCAGAACTGTGAGAAATACGTTTTTATTTTTCTATAAAATAATAATAATAAAAACTTCCATGCAGGAAAAAAAATCAAGTTCAAATGTCCTGTGGTGAGGGCATGCCAGCTTTGTTTGAGAAGCAGTAATCATGCCTGTGTGACTGTAATGAAAGAATAAAAGACAAATTAGCACAGAAGAATGTAATGTAGTCCTTTTCACTTTAAGCAAGAAATTTGGCTTCAATTCTAAATGTGATAAGAAAAAAATAGAAGATTCCAAACTGAGAAGTGAAATGATATGAAATGTTTTAACAGAATCACCTTTGTTACCATATTGCAAATAAAATGAAAGTGCATCAAGAGCAGAAGTAGGAAGGCAAGTTATGAGATTGTTTTGATAATCCAGAGGAGTTGGGATGGTGACTTAAAGCAGTATGCTAGTGATTGGTTGGGTGAGAACATGGAATCCTGGGTATTTATTAAAGGTTCAGCAAAAAGGATTTACAGATGAAACAGATATGGGTCATGAGAAAGAGTCTAGTTAAAGATTATATCAAAATTTTTTTATCTGAACAACTCGTAGTGTTGTGGTAAATCCTTACCCCAACAATTTACGTGACCAATAACTGAGTGGGAACATTAAGAAGGGGATGGTTTGAGGAAGAATCAGGATCTCAGGTTGGAAATACTAAGATGAATATGCCTATTTAGCAATCAAATGAAAAATAGTATTTTTGTAATTTTCAGTATTTATTTGGCAAGAGATTAAATAATCTATAGCATTGTTACTACTTTCTCTTTTTCATAAAAGTTATTTGGTATAAAATCAACCTGACTGGAAACTATTCAAATATATAAGCCTTTAGCTCTGACCTATTACTTATATTTTTTTGCCATTAATAATATGAATATCCACCAAACAAGAACTTGAGACTATAACTCTTTTCTCCACTAAATCTTCATATTAAATTAGTCATTTAAATATGATTATTCTTTTCATTTATTGCTAAATACTTTCCATTACATTCAAACTTATTGAGACGTCCTTAAATTTTATAATTTATTTAATGTATTAATTCCTTAGCTTCTAAACTGGTTTTCTCTACTGCAACTCTATTTTCTTCTTAATAACTCATCATCTACATCCCCCAATGTCTTATTTTTCCAAAACAAGTGCACTCATGTCCTTCTAGGGCATACATTTCTTTAATGGCTTTCTATTGCTATAGATAAAGTTCAAACTTATTATGACAGCCTATAATTTGGGGGAAAAAACTCACCTAAAAACAGTTTTTAAAAGATTAAAATTCAAATGCTTGAAATGTCAGTTATTTTATGAGCTTTCTATTCAAACATGTCAAGGAGCTAAGACATTACATACTACACTACTACTAGTACTACTACAAATCATAATAATAACAACAACAATTATAGTTACTTATCTTAGTTTTGGCAGAGGATACCATTTCTATAAAGAACGTAATTAGATTGTAGATATTAAAATAGTTACTAGACAGAAACTAGGATGATGGTAACATTGACTTTTGATCTGAGTCCTGGCTATATGTTTTCTGTTTGAAAAAAGTCGTTAAGTATAATATTATAATTTTTATAATTTTAGAAGGCATATTATAACAACATATTTTTTTAAACTGAGAATTTAAGATTTTAAAAGTATAGTAGGGGAAAGAGAAGGAAAATATTTTTTCTCTGTGCTTGTTTTAATAAATAATGCCACTGAGGATGTAAGTTTTCAATGTCTAATTATTAAATCAGCATTACTTTCATTATTTTAACAACTTTCATGGGGTTCTTATATTGAGACTCAAATTAAATATGTAATATTAATCCTAATATAGTTATTTATTTCGTAACAAGAGCATAAACCTTCCAAAAATTTTATTCTGCATATTTATAACTGAATTTATGATTCTGACATATTTTTTTTCAAATCATGTCCATCAATATATGAACAGGTATTGAATTTATCCATATTTACTTATGTCTTTCTTCAGCCCTTCTGTCAACCCACTTATCTTTTTGATAGCTCAGTGAGCTGGCACTAGCTTTGTACCTCAGGATGTTTACTCTGGCTAATTTAGTCACTGATCTTCTAATGTCTGGTGCTTGGCAATAAAGTCCCAGTTGGAGTTTTCAACCAACAGCAGTTTGCATTCAGTTACTTAATCTCTGTTTTGCAATCTTAGTACCTTCCTTTCTGATTGAATGAAGACAATTGCTCCTAGGGATACCTGAACCTGAAATGAACTGAAAATATTTCATAGCTTTTCAACTTGCCAGGCAGTAGAAGAAAAATTCATACCAATCCCATTGCTACAAACAGCTGTTACTATAAGGTGATATTGCTATGGAATCTTAAAATAGAACAAGGCGAATACCATCCCTGTGAGAGTTCTACTATATTTTGTGGATCTCCAGCTGGAAACTTAATTGTAATTTAAACTGAGCATACAGAAACAGCTTTCCTGCTTCTATTCAGCATACTTTCACGGAATTGGATAATTTAATCAATAAGTTATAACACTCTCTAGTATGAAGCTGCATACAATTCTAGGAGGAGAGAAAATGTGATCTTTGATTCCCTATTATCTTTATCTTCCTGCATTATATTCTCCCAGGACTTTAGCTAATACCTCTCCCCATCACAATAAAGTCTTTAAACACTTAGAATCAATTTTCTGTTTCCTGTATCCATATCCTATAGCCAAAGATCACCAGGAACACCCCTGAGTTTATTCTTATTTGCAGCAATAAATACCTCACACAATGGGGAAATGTGAGGTTATCTCAGTAAGAAGGTATTAAAAGAACCTATTGTATCATTTGGGATTTGGTTATTTGGGGAAGAAATTAAGGAAGCAAGACTGCCCTGGATTGCCTGTTACCAGGAAGTGGGAGCAATTTTATGATTGGGTATGTCACCAAATCTTACCTATATGGATGATATACTAGAGTGAGGCTAATGTAATTGAGGATAAAGTAACTGCTAAAGAAACAACAGTCACTTGTATCTGGTATGTTGTGACCTGGACAACGTTCCTGTTTTGTTTATGCTTAGATAAAATTAAGGATTGTTCTTGTTTTTGTCATTGTCCATCTTGGTCACTGAATGGTCTTATTTTAGTTTAGGGTTCTGTGAAATAGTTTATGTTCAACAGGAGACTTAAGGACTTAGCTGAGAGTTCCAGTCCAGGTCATGAATGTGAGGGCCTCCATTTTTACTTTCTCACTTATATCTATTAACAAATATTAATAAAATGTTGCATAGTAAAGTATAAAATGGAAAAAGGAAATAGTATGAAATTAAGGTAATTCCTCATCAGGATATTGCTTGATTTATTATTTATTATGCAAAGACCTGCAAAACAACAGTATCAGTCTTTAATAGTAGAATCTTTTTTTCACATCAAATTCTGGGGAGGATAGTATTAATCAAGGCAATAGGCAATGCCAGGTAGAGGTTTTAATATACCTCTAAAAACTTGGCAAATACAAGGTCAGTCTTTTTTGCCCTCTTTCTATTTGCAGTTGTAATTTTCTATGTGCTTTGTTTCTAAGTTAGAGTATTTCTAAATTAAAGAAACCAAAGACACGTTTAAAATATTCTAAGATCAAAATATAATTTTCGATGCCATTACTATGCTATATTAAAATTATCTTTATTTTATGCTGAATATATAATACTTCTCTACAAGAAGTCTCTTTATCTTACTTGATTGGGACAATTATTCAATTAGTTAATTGAAAAATTAGGTTAAATTGAGAAACCATAAAGCATCAAAAAATGTAGCCATATATTGAAAGTTGTTTTTTTTTTATTTAAAACATATACAGACACTGTATGATGTAAAGACAACATCTTTACTTTGAGACTTTATTGGCTGATTTGCATTCCACCTTTTTTACATAAAACTCATCTTAAGTCTTTAATTACAATATCTAACCTTGTTTCCATTAGGTGAAGTGAGAAGTCCAGAAGGTGTAGAGTGAAGAGAGAGATGGTTATTAGCCATGGTAGTCCAGCCAGTACATTTTCAAAATGAAATGGAAAACTTTAGATTGCTTAAGTAAATACATATTAACAGAGCTTCTATATATTCAGTATATGAGACACAGTCTAATTAGGCTGTTATATATTATCTGTAAGGGTTATAATTATTTTTAAGTATTTTAAAAATCTTATCACATAAATCTTAATGTGTATTCATTAGATATGATATTTTATTCATTTAGTTCCTCATCTTATTTAGGATACTACCTCAAAGTAGTTTGGGAAATTATGGATAAAAACAAATTCTTAACAGTAGATCTATTTAATTTGCTAAATTGTGCTTGTAACTAGTTTAAAAAATATATATATATATATATATGCCCACAGAAATAAAATATTATACTCATGCACTATAGAAGGGCTTTTCAGTCAGTGATGGACTGCATATATGACAGCGATCCCATAAGATTATAACACTGTATTTTTACTGCACCTTTATATAAGATTATAACTGTATTTTTACTGCACCTTTTCTGTGTTTAAATATGTTTATATACATCAATGCTTACCATTGTGTTACAGCTGCCTACAGGCTTGTAGACTAGGAGCAATAGACGACTTCACACAGCTTAGGTGTATTGCAGGCTGTACCATCTAGGTTTGTGTAAGTATGCTCTATAATGTTTGCACAACAACAAAATTTCCTAACACCACATTTGTCAGATTGCATATACCTGTTGTTAAGCGACACAAAACTATATATTCATAGCTTTTCCTAAATACTAATGATATGACGATGATCTTCCTTGTCAGCTATGCTGTCAGTCAAAACAGATATGATTGTTCTATACCGGCATTTGACAGAAACAACTGAGATTAAAAAATAGAGAGATGGTTTCAGGACTCCAAATCAATCCGTGCAGCTTTCAGTTCCAACCAATCAGTGAAACCTGCATGTTGTAATCATTCTCCTTGGTTACAAGTGCTGGCAGAAACTAGAGACCCGTTTCTCAA